CCACAGCTGTCAGGTGGAAGACATCTTCAAAAAGCATCATCAGGTTTGTATGCTGGACAGTTGGCCTTGGCGGGAAACTCCCTTCCTTGCCACATGCACAGTAGAAGGTGAGAACAACTCCCAAATAACAGCCCTCTTGTATAGATTATTTCCCACACCCAAATACCATGCCCTCCCTCCCCGTTTCAATGGCAGCCGAAAAGCAAGCAGCAAAACAGAGGCTGACACATTGCCTCATGTAGCACTATAGAATAAGTAATCTGAAAAATTTATTTTGGGGTGAGGGTTCCTTTGACATACTTTCAGAGATTTAGAGTTTTCCCGTCACATCTGAGATAATTTAAGGAGAAACTCTACGTGATCTGACACTATTTCAAGTCTACATAGCAACCCAGATGTCATGAGACTATATTGGAAAAAAAATCAGAATATGCAGTTGTACCTTTGCCATATTAAATTTAGAATTGGCAGAGTTGAATTATGTGCAGATTGAAAATCATCATACTATCCAAGTGAGGGTGTTGGTAAAGATGGTGGCATTAGCTTGCGGTTTTGTTTATTGAGCAATAAATTAAACAGCTATGAGTTGTTCAGCTTGCCAGGAATGTCCAAATGAACCCAGAATCCATATCACTTAACCTATGGGGATGGCAGCATTGTTGTGGAAAAGAAGTCATATAGCCTTTGCAGAACCACTTGTGGCCACAACATTTTTTAATGGTAGTAGGCACAGGATCAGAATGCCCTGGGGTATTTGTGAATACAATAGTGTCATATCATACAACTGCAAATGAATTGGCTGAATGTTTTAGGATGCTATCCACTATCTGAAGAAAATGTCACATTGAATCAAAACTTCACATGCTCAATTTATAAAAAGTACACACAAAATAAATTGAACACCAGCAATGTTATTTGTAGGTATAAATTTGAAAGTATAAGGAGCAAAGTCCAGGACATACAGCTAAAACACATTGAGCAATCTTCTCGTGTTGAAAAGTGACACATTTACTAACTGAAGAGCCTAGAGTTCAGAAAGAAGTTGCAACCAATATGATTGTAGTCACAATAGTAATTCCTAATTTATGGTAGTATTTTCACCCAAAGAAAACACTCAACAGTCTGCTCCACAGTCACAAGTGTAGACAGATACATGAAACATTCCTGTTCCTGATTTAAAATGTTATGCCATTTATATACTTAAAACAGCCCACAAAAAGCCTAGATTTGGATATAGTTTTGTGTTTTGTGTGCTAATTGTTTTATCCAAGCCAATCATCATGTACTTTTATTATCTGTGGTGGTCAGTAATCCTTGACTTACAACTACAATCAGGACTAGAAAATGTGTTGTTAAGTAATGTGGTTAAGTAAGTGAGGCATCATATGACTGCACCCGATTTTATGATCTTTTTTGTCATTATGCTAACCACCATGGTCATAACATGATTCTTCATGTGATTGTGACTTGTGATCTCCCCAGCTGGCTTCCCCATTGGCTTTACTTGTTGAAAGCCAGCTGGGAATGTTACAAATGCTGATCATATGACTGGAAGATACTGCAACTATCATAATTGGTAGCCAGGTGCCTGGATCACAATCAGTGCAAGGACCAGTTGTAAATCACCTTTTCAATGCTATTGTAACTTTGAGCAGTTGTTAAATGAATGGTCTGTAATCTGTTATATTATTTATGTTATATATTCCTAATCATATACAAAACTGGACTGGAGGATAAAACGTATGAAGATTGGTTGCAGGAATTGGGTAAGTCTAGTTTAGTGAACAGAAGGACTAAGGATGACATAATAGCAGTGTTTCAATATCTAAGGGTCTGCCCCAAGGAAGAACTATTCTCCAAAACACCTGAAGGCAGGATAGGAGGCAATGGATGTAAACTAATCAAGGATAGAAGCAATCTAGAACCAAGGAGAAATTTCCTGAAGGAACAAATGATCAGTGGAACGACTTGCCTCCAGAAGTTGTGAATGCTCCAACACTGGAAGTTTTTAAGAAGAGATTGGACAACCATGTATCTGAAATGGCATAGGGCTGTGATGGTGAACTTCTGGCCCTCTCTGTGGGCACATGCGCCATCACCCAGCTCAGTCCTCAGGTTGTCAGATTTCCGGCGCTCTAGCATCTGCACGGCTCTTGGTTTTGGCACTCTGTCCCTAAAAGTTTCGGCGTAAGGTTTCCTGCTTGAGCAGGGGATTGGAGTGAAAGACCTCCAGAGTCTCTTCCTTGTAATTCTGTTAAAACACAAACATTTTACAAAAGACTACACTGGATTGCAATATAATGATGTCACCAGGTGGCAGCAAATCATGGAAATCCAATTCCAAAAAGTCAGTTTTCACTAGATGGCAGCAATGCAAACTACTTCAAGTTAGAGGTTTAAAGGTGAAAAAGACTATCCCAACTCAAACACAACCTACTTCTCCCCCTCTCTTTCTCCCCTCACATACACAAAGCTTGGTTAAGAAAGGCTCGTTATTGGCTGCATTCCTGGAAAGTACAATATTTTTGTTTTAGGTCTCCACCCATCAACTTTAGTTATGTACATAAATAGATTTCTTTTTAATATTTCCTGTTGTTCACTTTTTAAAAAATGTAGCAAGGAGCAGAATAATAGTGATGAGTATGTTCAACTTGTAGGAATGCAAGTTAATGTTTAACAGAGTTCAGTTATTATCCAGTTTCTGCACCATTATGAAAATTATTGTCTCCATGCTTTCTTTAATTAATTAATTGAAAATTATTTTCACTTTCCTAGCATTCAAATCTATTCCAAATTGCTGTGAAATTCTGATTCTATTCCATCTATGTTGCTTCTGATTTATCAGAATCTAGTAGTAAACAAGAAGTAGAAGGCTCAGGAGGACTTGATGACAATAGATTTTGAGGCTTTGTCAACATTTTCCTTTAAAAATGTGTCCTTGTAAATCAAAGAGCCTAATCTTTGGTGTTCCCACACAACACAAAGTCTGTCAAAGGTTAGAACCACAAAAAATGCTTAACGCCAAAGTGGTTTTATGTTCTAAAATCCTGGCCCAACTCAGTGGAAACATAGGAGAACTGAAATTTTTATAGGTGGAAACATTGCTGCTGTCCTGGGCTCATTTCCACATATTCATATGTTCACCAAAATACATCAGACTAAATGATTTTGTCTCAAAATCCACATCTAACATTTGAACATACTCATTTAGAATTGTATTAGTGGTTCCAATATACATACAATTAGGCTATAACGGTAGATGAATAAATAATCTATGGTAAAAGAAGCTAATTAGATTACATTTATTTTTTTGACATGGTTTGCATTGTTAGGAGAAAGTTCTGGGTTCAAATCCAGGCCGGGTCAAATAAAGAATACACAGGACAAGTTGCATGGAGCATAGGCAGAGTTTACTTAACAGCATAATTGTAGTAATAGTGGGTTTTGATTGTATGGATGTGTTAATTGAGGTGATTTTGCCCTGAGAATGGTTGCAGTCCAGTGAGAAAGGTAATCTCTTGCCCTGCGAGATGTGTTGATCTTTTCTAGGTGTGGAATTTTATGAGGGGGTCTGACATTAGAGATCCTGCATCAGGAAACAGTGTTGTGATTAGGAGATTTCCATATCTTTGAAGGGATTTTGCTTTGTGATTGAGTTGCCAGTATCTTCTGGCTTCTTGGAGATGCATTTTGTCAATTTCAGCCTACATAGTAGTGGTGAAATTCAATTTTTTTACTACTGGTTCTGTGGGCATGGCTTGGTGGGCATAGTTTAGTGGGTGTGGCAGGGGAAGGACATGGCAAAATCTCATCCCCACCCCACTAATTTGCTTGGCAAACCAGCAAATACCAGCTCTGGCTGGCTCCAGAGTTGGGAGAGAATGGGGATTCTGCACTATCCTTCAACTGCCATGCCCATCAAGCCACACCCATAGAACTAGTAGTAAAAAAAAAGAATTTCACCACTGCTTCGTATATACAGTAAATAGTTTTAGGATTCATGGATGACAAGATACCAATGAACACAACCAAGGTGGCTCCAATTGAGTTGGAGAAAAGATCATAATTATTTCAGTAGCTATCAGCTAAGATAATAAAGAAACTTATAAATGTCAACAAAAGAAACCTATCAGTTGCAGATGGAAAGTAATAGGGTTCTTGTTTTCAGGTTTTGCATGTGAAACCAAATTGGCCCTGTCTAAGGCCCATGAATAAATAAATACATACATACAGGGTTTGTGTGTGTTTATGTGTGTGTACACATATACTGTATGTTTACGTCATATACTTATACATACAAATAGAGGGGGAAGAGGGGGAAGAGTGGAGGGAGAGGGGAGTACTGGGAATTATTTATTAAATTCTACTTGGAGCTGTCCTAGAAAAGCATTCTGGTGCAAAATGCAGAGGTGCAGATGTTCAATTGAAGGTGTTGGTTTTGACTTTAAAAGCCCATGTGTCATGGGACTGGGTTATTTAAGGAACCCTTCTCTCTCTAGTTATATCAACCCACCCCATCAGACCCAGCAGGCGGAATAAATTAAGTTACAGGCCCCATCGGCTAAAGTGCTTCATCTGTTGAGATCCAAAAAATAAGTCTTTTCTACTGTGGTCCCCACCCTGCGAAACATCTCTCCCCAAGGAAAAGTTGGCCCCAAACTATTGGAATTTATAAACCTCCTCAAAACTTGGTGTGTGTTTTTCTGTCTGTCTGTCTGTGTGTGTGTGTCCTTTTCTTTACCAGACTTGGTGAATCAGAGAAATGGAGAAATGATTATATTGTATGAAGGATGCTGGTTCACTCCCCTGCAGCTTTATTTTTATTTTTCATTCTATATTTATTTATAATAGTTGCATTTCAAATGTTTCCATTGACTGCTCACTAACTATGCTGTCCAGAGTCACATTTATGAGATGGACAGCTATATAAATCTGATAAATAAATAAATTATTAAATAAACATAACTGTTATCTATATCTTGTATTCACAGAACACAGTAAATTTTAATTCATGGTTTATTTTTTAAAAAGTGTATCACATTATGATGCAAGGCAATGTGAAAATCAGACCAATACCTTTAGAGTCACATGACAGATGGGCATTTTACATTTGTAGTATAGTTTCAATTTCAAAGTAGTTCTAAAAAAGTTTGTACTATATTTTACACTGTTTCATTAACCAATGTTTTCCTCAACGTAAATGTATAGCCACTACCACTTGTTAATTTTAGATTGCTTTGCTGTAGGAGATTTTATAGATCACTGTTTAAAAGCAAATTAGAAAACTGGACCTAGATCAAGTTTGTTGCATTTAAGAAAGGAGCTGACATCGCGACGGTATGATGTGTGACCTTGGAGCTCCGAGATCGCAGTTGACACTTTTGCCGCTGGACACTCCATCTGGACATAAACCATCCCAAAGAGATGGTGACAGGGAAGAGTCCATCTTGCTAATCTCAGGGACATCACAAAGTCCTTGATTGATCAAAGAGAATCTCTTCTAGCCAGCAACAAAAAACACAGCCTCAAGCTGCTGAAGTTGGGACAGATCTGCAATGGGAGGAAAAGTGGAAAGAGAAAGTGTGTCCATCTGGTGAGGAAATTTTATTTTTATAAAAGACTGCCAAAAAAAGATTGAAGTTAAATTAAAATGGTAAAGAAAAGGAAATAAGTGGCAAAACTAAGCATTATTGGACAGTGTGTTATCTTTTTTATTTTATTTTTTCTATCAATGGAAGTTTTGTGAATATTTTTTTACTTTTTAAAGTGAAAGTTTCAGATTCTCTTCTATTTCTTTTTTTTAACCTATGGATTAAATCTTTTCCTTTATTTCTACAATACTGGTTGGGATGGATTTTTCCTTTTTATTTTGTTTCATTTAAGAACTTGGTTATGCAGGTGCTCTCTGGATGCTTGTTGCTACCTGGAAAGAAGTGAAAACAAAGATTTGTTTTTAAACAAGAGTGGCAGTGTTTATTAATTGGAAGGATTGCACGACCTCAAAAAGAAACCATAACATTACAACAGATTATATCTGGAATTCAAAAATTATTAGAAACAACAGAGAGAATTGAGAAGAGATTGGAAAATATTGAAAATATAAACTTTAATGTGGTAAAACATGATGGAAAAATGAAAGATATTCAGCAAATGGAAGATATTCAGCAAATAGAAAAAGTGAAGGCTGGAGTCCTAAAAACCCAGGGGAAAAATGAACAAAGAGGCAAGATAACCATGTATATTGACAGTGGACTGAGTGTGGTTGGAGATGGAAAGAGTGGAACAAGGAAAGGGAAGATAGATGGAAAGGTGCTTTACTACAGATTTCAAAGTATAGAAGAAAAAAAGAAGAATGGATGGACTTAAGGAGAGAAATTTTGACAAAAACTCTACTGATAACCAAAGATAAACTGATTAAAAAAGCTGATGGAGGGTTTTGAGATTTTACAAGATATGTAAAAGTAACAAGTTGTGAAGAGAAGTCCAAACAAATTTGATTAAGGAAATAACTAGAAGACTAATACCACAAATGGCAAAAGAAATAGGACTACACTATTATTGGAAAGAGACAGGTTGAGATATGAAAAGTAATAATAAAACACTACTTAAATTTAGTTAAAATTAGAGCATTATGTTAAAAATATAGTGATAATGATAAAGTTAAGTAAATAATTGATAATGATAACAATTAGCAATACATATGTATTGGTTTGATAAGAGGAAATTTTGGTAAAAAATTTAAATGATAAAAAAGGGGGGAAAGTAAGTTAAACCTAGTCAAACTATTGTTAAATAAATGACTATAATGATAACAATGTAATAATTTGTATTGACACGATAAAAGGGAAATTAGATATAAATTGTAAACAATAATTAAGAAAAGAGGTCTAAAAATGTTGTTAAAATTAGAGCATTATGTTAAAAATGTAGTGTTAATGGATAAAGTTAGATAAATATTTGATAATGACAACAATGTATATATATGCATTGGTTTGATAAGATGAAATTTGGTAAAAAAAATTAAAGGGTGAAAAAAGGGGGAAAAGTAAATTAAACTTAGTCAAACTAATGTTAAATAAATGACTGAAAATGATAATAATGTAATAATTTGTATTGACAGGATAAAATGGAAATTGGATATAAATTGTAAACAATGATTAAGAAAAGAGGTCTAATTTTTGTTATTAAACATAATTAATTTTTATTTTGAATGTGTTATAAAGGTATAAGGTGGTTGGATGCTATTGAAAATAGATAAGGGAATGCAATTATGTGGTTTTGTTCTAATTTTGGAATGTTTGTTATAAAGGGACGTTAAAACAACTATAGTCATATGAAGGATAAGATATGATGATAGCAATATATATAAATATATGTGGTGTAAAATATATAACTAGATATGAATTATAGGTGATGACTGTGGAAGAGATGCAACTCTTCCACAATTTGTAACCAATTGACACACTTTCTACAATTTGTAATGGAAGATGATTTTGTTTGTGTTTATTCAAAAAATAAAAATATTTTATTAAAAAAAGTTTGTTGCATTTAGTTTCTTCTGAAATCATGAGAATTAAATTAAAGCATGGCTGGCTTATTTAATTGATCTTAATAATAGTAACAATTTAGCCAAAGAAATGTAAAAGAAAAAGGAAAGGATTGTGCAATAAACTTTAATAGCTAGATTTGGCTCATCAGATCAACATGATGCAGGCTGCTACAGCAGCCATCACAATACCAGCTAGCAATACAAGGAGCAAGATAAGACAGTGTCTAGACCGTTTTCCTTCTCTCTCCTTCTTTTTCAACAAGGTATCATATCCTGGAGTATAAATATCTTCCATCCAGTACTGTAAATCATTTGGATTTTCCTACAAGAAAGTTAATTTGAGTTTTCTTATGTAAGGACCATAACTGGATATAACTGAACATACTTAGCAATAAATTACATCCCTCTTTCTAATACATATGGTAACTGGGTTTAGCCATGGGCATAAGATTAGACTTTCTCCCTGCCTCAGATGGGGGTAGGTGGGTGAATAACCTTTTGGTATTTGTATCCTACCCTCTTTGGATAATCTATGTTTAACTTTTCGCATCCATGGTCCACGTTGCAATGCTTTCAGTGGTAAGCCCTCTTTTTTACATTGACATCTCTTTTAATTTCAGTAAATAGGTTAATGCAGCTATTAAATGGGGTTTTTTTTTTGGTTTAAAAAAGAGAATGAAAAAATCATACTGAATTTTGATGGCATTACCTTGAGGGCCTGGCCTTCCATAGGGAGAAAGGGATCAACTGATATGCATTTCATGATACAACTGACGTGGATGAAGAATTTGTATCTTTTCCACAATAACATCATACATTAGTTATATAATCATCCCTTCTGCTGGATGCATATTGAGGGGGGGGGGCTACAAAAATGAAAGAAGAGCTGAGAAAACGCAGGGAATTAATCAGACATGGATTGCTAATCCTGAGTTAAACGAACAAGTATATTTATGTACTGATGATATTGTTTAGTTGGCTAATGAATCATCTGCAAACAAAGAACCAGCCCTGAAAGCACAAAGGACAATTCAATCCTGTGCTATGTATACTCTCTTCTATTGGAATATTTTATCCATTTAAAAGAGGTACAGGACTGATAGTCTATTAATTTTTTATTGATCTGCAAAATCCTGAAACAATGAAACACCTAGACTTAGCTTAGGTGCTCCCACATGTGTTACAACAATTAAAATAAAAGAATTAAACACATTGCAAAGGTTTCTTTGTTTGCTTTTGCTTCATATAGAAAAGTTCCTTCTACAGAAGGAATTCTTCCTCCTTTCTTTTTTTCTTGTGTTTCCTTTTTAATGGTACAAGAAATTAAGATCTAAGGAAATTTAAAATCTTGAAAAAAATCTAAATTATCTGTCTGATAAAAAGTCTTTTTTCTTTCCAAGGCTCAAAACATTTGAAGGGCTTTTTGGGCTTGGAAAAGAAAGAGACTTTTTTCCAGACAGATAATTTAGATTTTTTTCAAGATTTTAAATTTTCTTAGATCTTAATTTTTTGTACCATTAAAAAAAATCATATGAACTTGTTTGGTTTACTATTAATATTGTACCTAGACAAATCATACAACTTCCTGCTGGATGACATCAGTATAGAACAAAGCTACTTGTCTGTTGATTCCATTTCAAGAAATCTGGTGATTTGAATGGTTTCCCATCATGATTTTAAAAATTGCATAAATTTTGGTAGCATTTGCAAAAACTGGGAGAAATATCACACTATGATTTCAATCTATTTTTCCCTCCACATTCTTAAATACAAGCATTGCATTCTTAAAGCATATAATTTTCACTAGCATATAATGTGTGAGACAATAGAAGGGAAAATTATCACACAATAGTAAAAAAAATATTCAAAGATACAAAGCAGTATGTGTCGTTTCATTTCCATTTCTTTACATTTAATTAACATCAAAATTAAATAAATTGATATTATTTCTTGTTCTTTCTTCTGTTCAATCTGCCCCAAGTTCACCCAGCTGCCTTTGTGCCTAAGGTGGAACTGGAACTTATACTCTCCTAAGTTTCTAGCCTGATGCCTTAACCATTACACAAAACTGGCTCTAAATGTTAAGTAAGAGAAAAAGAAATCACAAACTCTGCTTTCTGCTATTAAACATATAATTTAAGTACTGCTGAAGCTAAATACTAACTAAACTGTCAAGGAGTTAGTAGTAGTACTGTACTTTCAGGTTGCTAATGATGAAAACCAGTGTCTTGTCAACAGACCTTTGCTTCCTGACATCTTACAAAGCCATGTTGAGAAATGCTATCGATTTCCTTTGACAGATCCTTTGATGTGAAAGATAGGCAATCTTGTCTAATCTTTTGACCTCCTCCCCCCCAGGACAAATGGATAGTATATTCTATTCCCAAGCCAATCATTTTGCTTTGCTCTTCTCTTTTATTCATTAATTATTGTATATTTTTATTTTCAATTCTCAGTTGCATAAAATCCCATATTATTGTTACTGTAGATTGTACCTTTATATAGTAAGGCAGGCTAGTGTTGGAATGCCTATCATAATCTTGGACTGTCCATGATGGGTTATGTCTCCTTTTCTCCCAACAATCATCGGCAAGGATCCCATCATAGAGAGGGTTGCTTTTGATGGTTGATTTCAAAGTGACAGGCGTAACATGCTTTCCAAGAGCTTTGTCAATCATTACTGGGTGAAGCGGGGCCAGCTGCCAAACAGGCTGCTCCTGGATGTTTTTCTTTTCTCTCTAGAAAACACACACAATAAAAGAGGGCTATTATTCGGCTCCCTAAAGATCAACCTTATGCTCAGAATGTAGTCTGAGGGAAATTACTTCTGAGAAATGATAAGTCGGTGGCACTGAAAAGATACTGTTAAGAAAAACAATACCACTGTTTTCTCCTTGTAATTGGATCAAACCATTGGACAAATATGAATGGCTCTTTAATAAGAGGAAAGATTTGTGTATGATAAAACAATCACTCAGGGTATTCAGATTAAAATTGATATTAGAGACATGATGCAGAACAAATACTTCAAAGCACCAATTAGTAGCAATGTCTAAGTAGATATTTTAAGAAGTACTCTACAAAGCATATTAGCAGAAGCAGATTTCTCATCATTTTGCAATGCTTGGGCAGTCATCCTTCTAGTGAATTCAGTATGGCTGCCCAAATGGTTTGATGAACTTTTTAGATTCACCAATATTTATCTATGTCATGCATAGTTTGATACATAATATGCTATCAAGTGTTTCCATATCTCCATGATGATGATGTATCTCTGAACTCACAATTTTTTCTAAACCAAAAAAAAAAGCTGTTCCACAATGGATCTGCTCAAGGCCCCCAGGTATTTTAGTAGCTCTTTCTGTATACCCTCTAATCCCAAATTGAACGCAGCCTAGGAATATCTACTTTTCATCCCCTCACTGAAAGTTGTACTATAAGACGGAGACTGAAGTGACAATCTTCTTGGAATTAGCAGCCAAATAATGGAATGCCAATGCATTTCTCCCAGGAGATCAGTTTCGCTTTATTTCAGTGCCAAATGAAGCAGATTGTACAAAATCTTTTGTATCTCAGTGATAGTGATTCAAGCTGTATTGATAGTGTTCAAGTAAGTGCAACTAGTCTCTAAAGTTTTCTTGGTAGCATTTTTGGAAGTGATTTGCTTATTCTTAAGGCTAAGAGAAAGTGGCTAGCCCAAAGTCACCCACTTGGCTTTGGGCTTAAGGAATGACTAGAACAAAGTCTCACAGATTCTAGTTTGATGGTCTAACCACTATACCAAATGGGAAATCTCAATATTTATTTGAACATTTATCTATTTATTAATAAAATTGTATAGCTGCACATCTCACAAAAAGCAATTCTGGGCTATTTGTGTGTGTGTGTGTGTGTGTGTGTGTGTGTGTACATGTATATGTGCACCTGTGTGTGTCTGTGTATAATTTTTAAATAATATGTGTTTATAGGCAAATTTAATAGTATTCAAATAAATGATCATCATTTTTCTTTTTAGATTTATATCCTGCCTATCTAAAAG